TTTTTTTTTTTTTTTTTTTTTTTTTTTTTTTTTTTTTAATAAACACGCCCCCGTCAGTGTTAGTAGTGCTGATAAGAGCAGACACCGCTAACACCTGGCGGGGAGCTCCATCTATTGGTGGGGAGCGACACCTGCTGGAAAACGGGTCCAGCGTCCCTTCGGAGTTTTAAGTTTGCTAAGTAGGAACTTGGAAGTTTTTAAGTCACAATTTTTTGTAAAGTTGTAAGGTTGTGAAGTTGTAGTTGAAATGGATGTTAGTCATAAGTAAGAAAACGTCTGTCTGTTTTTGCCGTGTCTCGACCAATGGTGGTAAAAAAAGACCAAACATACATGATACACCCATACTATGAAGCCTGCAAATCTGTATGCTTCTTCAAAATCAAGGAATAATGAAGAGATTCAAGAGAATGACTGCTTTGATCATTCTTTTCTGGTCCACACAAAACTCTCTCTTTCGTTTTTTTTTTTAATCTGGTTCTTTAACCATCACAAAAACCAGAAAAGGATTCAAGCAGTAACCCTTTAGGCTTGGCCTATACCCCTGGTCCCTTGAATGGCTGAGAATCATGCACCTCCGGTTTCTGTGGTGGAAGAGTAGCGCCTTTCTTAGTTACGAGAGGGCGAGATGTATCGGCGGCTGCTGCTCATAGGGTGATGCTGCCACAAACACATACCGAGGGTCAGCTGCCACTTACTGGATTCTTCGTTTCCTGCCATTGAAGGTGGCGCAACCCTGTAACCCAGCCTATTGTGGGTATGGGGCATGGTAGAGAGATCTGGGGACTGTTTTGGGGGCGCAGTTTCAGTGCCTAACGGGGGTCGAAGCCGGGGCAACGCTGGCCGGAGCCGGAGCACGTGGTGCAACTCTGTAACCCAGCCGTTGGGGGTACAAGGCCTGGTAAAGAGCTCCGGTTTTCTGCTTGAATATGGTTGTGCTGGTAGAAAGGTGTTAGGAGGACGTGGCATTTCAGGCGGGGGTTCCATCAGGAGAGGGGGCAAATGTTTGGAGTCTTCAGTTGGTGGTCGGGGTTGGTGTGGGTAAGTCAAGTGCCTGCAGCCCGCTCTTGGTGTCTCTGAGCAGAGGACCGTGGTGGTCCTGTCTGTTGGCAAGTATGGACTGGCTCCTGAGGGGGAATAGGACATCCTCACTGCCCAGTCACAATGTTCGGGCCCTGGAGTTACGCCCTGGCAAAGGGTTGTGGAAGCACTGCACTGCCCTGGGCCTGCAGCTGCTTTCTTGCATTTTCCAGTTTTTCCACATCAGCTTACCACCCTCCCCTACTTCACAGATTTGAGCCTGTAGACCAATCCACTGCTACTGAAAGGATTTTATTAGCTGTTGTCTCCTCTGTTGATCATCACAAGTCCATAGACTTTGTCCGAGTATCTGCCCTGTCTTCACTCTGTTTTCATGCATCGCCTCTACTATTTCAGGCTTCCCTTGGATAAAGCCAGAATTATTCTCGTCTCTTTGTGCTGAGCTGCGTAGCACGGCGAACGTGTTCGCGCCCCTCCATGTTCGTGCGAATGGCCAACGTGTTCGGGCGAACATATATTTTTTTTCATAAAAAACAACAACAACGGGGATTTGGTGCCGGCTTTCAGGGGTCTGCTATCTCGGGCTTCCCTTGGATAAAGCCGAAATTATTCTCGGGTGTTCTGGACTTTTCGGTATTTCTTCGTTCTGTATCCAAGGGAACATGTCTGCCCTAGACTTAGGCCTACGACGATTCAACTGTCCTATTGGACCTACCCGACGTGACGCAGCTGCGTTTTTTTTGGATCCATAGAGGAGAGATTCAGCCTGCCTCAACGAACCGGACAGCCCCCTCGTGCAAAACGCAATGCGCTTCTTCTGCAGGCAAATTGCAGAGGAGTGGGATTCCAAGCCTCACATGGACATGTGGGATCATCTCTACAAGTTTTTGAGAGAGCCTGTGCAAGGGGAAGTCAGGATAGATGAACACGTGGACACCCGGTGCCAAGAAGCAAGCCACGCGACATACGCCGGCAGACTGGCGGACCTTGCATGGTGGGGATGTTCCACATTTGCAGGAGATCACCGTAGAGTGTTGGGAATGTGGAGCACTGCGATACTAGTGGAGTGGAACTGGGCATCAATGGACTTCGTCCATTCGAAGCGAAGAAACGACCTCTCGACGGAGTCCTTCGAGAAGCTTGTTTACATTCACTGGAACATGCAGTTGCTGCGTGTTCCAGATATCAAGGACAATGGCTGCATCGATGTGTGGGGATCCTTCTTTGAGCCGTTGATGGAGCCAGCAGCGGAAGATGGAGCTTTTGAGGAGGCCACAGAGGAGGAGAAAGCGGACAATATCGAGGAGGAAAAGAGGCAACAGAGACTGAAGAAGATTCCAAAAGACCGGATTCCGAAAAGGCTGCTGGATGACGACTCAAGTGAGAGCAGCGATCTTGAAGGTCTCGTGTGGAAGGGGAAGTGTTGGAACGAGTCCACCTCCTAGGAGAGTAAATGTAAGGATGACATTGGGGAGGACTCAGATTTCAAGTTGAGGGGCATGCCAGTGGTGCCAGCCACTACATACGTCGGTCGAAGGCTTACGAGGCGAGAGAAGGAGGCAGAGGTGCTGCCTTCCAAGCCCATCAAGAGACTGGACACCGATATCGAGTTCGTGGCGCACCCTGCACCTGATGCAGATGAGGAGGAAGCAGGCTCGGGCCAAGGCTATGGCAGACAAAGATGCTGCTCTTGTTCAGAGGCGGATGAGTGAGGAGGAGGCTCGTCGTGCTGCTGTCCCCACCCGGAGGGAGAGAGAGAGAGACAGAGCAAACAGGTCAGCCAGCATGAGGAGAAGCAAAGTGAACAGGATGAAAGGGTGGGCAACATGGAGGTAGCCGAGGTAGATGTGCGTGCAGAACACAAAGGGAGTTTGCAGCATGCAGGAGAGAATGTTGAAGAACTTGGAGAAAAAAATGTGCAGCAAGAAGAAGAAAAAAGTTTGCGGCAAGAGGGAGATGATATGAGGGAGCATGTGGAAAAAACTCAGCAACCAGCACCACCCACGGTTTACGCACGAAGACCCCCCCCACCTGCACTGCAGCAGCCTGCAGCAGGACCAGCAGGCTGTGGCTGCGTAGCAGCCAGAAAAACTCGGAACAATGGTGCAAGGAGCAGCAGTCCAGTCCGCCAGACCCCCACAGAATGAGGATGCCCAACACGACAACATCTGGAAAAGCAGGGCGGGGTGAAAGAGGAAGGCTCCGGTGAATGAAGTCCCAGAACCACGTCCCCGTCGTGGGAGGCCTCGCAAGGAGAAGACGGGGCACGACGCTGCAGAAAAGTCAAAACGTCGTCATGGCAAGCCCCACAAAGTGCAAGTCTCGGAGGAGGACCAGATGGCGAGAAGAGCGAAGGGGATCCCGAATGAGTGTGTGTGTGTGTGTGTGTGTGTGGGTGTGTGTGTGTGTGTGTGTGTGTGTGTGTGTGTGTGTGTGTGTGTGTGTGTGTGTNGAGAGAGAGAGAGAGAGAGAGAGAGAGAGAGAGAGAGAGAGAGAGAGAGAGAGAGAGAGAGAGAGAGAGTTCCACCACGAACATGATGAACTGCTGCAGATCTTCGACTTTATGAAATTCTCTCTTATATTTCTGTTCTTCTTCTTCTTCTTCTTCTTCTTCTTCTTCTTCTTCTTCTTCTTCTTCTTCTTTACTCTTCTGTTCTTCACATTCTTCTGCCTCATAGTATTGTCTCGCGTCACTTCCATTTTGTATGCATGATGCTGTTCGTGGGCCTGCAAACCCTTAATGCAACACCCCTCTTACAACTCTCGACCTCGACAAACCCCCACCCCCTCCCCCTCCCACCCCCTCCCCCTCCCAGCACACCCCTTTAGAAAAAAATCCAACCTTCGAAAGTTTATTGCGGAATCCGACAGATCTCATCAAGCACAGTCGGATCTTGCAAAGAAAAATAAAAAATAAAAAATTTTGGGCATTGTTTTGGAACTTTTAGGCCATCTGATTTGCCGGTTGACCCCCCCTGGGCCGGTCAGGTCCCGGTTGAACCGGGCCAGCTCAACCGGCCAGTTGCCGGGCCAGCCCTGATCCAAACCCATCGTCCCAAGTGATCCCACTAGTAATCTATCACTTGAAAGTGGAACGACCTGGCTAGCAATATCGCCACCCCTCCTTTTGTACCTTCGGAGGGGGCCCAGCCACCATCCATGCTGCTCTGCTATCGCAGATTCATCGAGTTTCATTTCCTGCAAAAGCAGGACATGCATTCCTTTGTTCCCCATTAATACTTTGATAAGGGATCTTTTCACCACCACACACACGACGAGATCGCAAGCCCCGAAGGTTCCAAGATGCTATTCTGATTCGGTCCATTGAATTTTACAGTTCATTCTCCCATTCCGCACATTTAAGTTTCAAAAAGTTTTGAGAAAAAAGACTTGCGCGCCACGGCAAGTGGCCATCTACCTGGTGTATCAGTGCAGCTGTCCAGCAGTCGAAAATGCGCGTCTCTGCTATTGTCTGTCCTGCTGGGCTATTGAGAAGCGGTAACCCCAGCCATCTCAATTCAGGCAAGGGGGGTGGCGACGTGGCGGATCGGTTAACCACCACGTCTATAATCGGAAAGATGTTCAAAGAACAGAAGATCTGTTCTGCCGTGATCGTTTGTCGGGGTGAGTCTGACCAAATCAACCCCGAGAAAACATCTGGCTCGAAACGCCGGGGTCAGCCACTTGTGGACCTCTCGCAGGACCAGCTGAAATTCAAGCTAAAAATGAAAAACATAACATTAAATTAAGCCCCTTTGAAGTTTGAACCCTGTTTCTATTCCATCGACAGATTCGACACCCTTCCATGAGACAACAAAGTTCAAAGATAAGGCCAGATTTGGGCACATCTAGGACATGTAAAATTGCCCCACTTAGCCCACTACAAAAAAAAAAAAAAAAAAACAGAAAAAAAGAAGACCCCCATTTTGCTGTCACCCAGGTACCCCTGGGCAGGTTCCCCCCCCCAGGCAGGTTCGCCTGCATCGCCTGGCCAGGTGACTCTGGTAGCCAGGGTTATTAAAGTCAAGAAAGTGCACAGCCAGGGCACTCTCCCTGTGCACTTGGCTTTTTTTTTCTGAAGAATCAGGGGAGGTGTGAAGTGTTAAAAGATGCATAAAGAAAGCACATCTGTCTATATACAGGTGGTATCAGTCAATCTAAGACTTACTCTTCCGAAGTTGATAGCGCCTGTTTGAGACTTGAGGCGCAGAAAACCCCAAGCAATTCGGTAATACCCACCGCGGTGTCTCCTGCGCCCCTGTGCCAAATGGAATTGGTTAGCGTCCGCTGGTATATACTGCATATCTGTATTCTATGACTTGTTTGTTTATTCATTTATTTGTTCATTTTCAGAATCCAGTTCCTCTGTGGATGATACATCCTCTGACCGGCCCACTATGAAAACTGTTATAACTTATAACTTATTAGCCTACTACGGTCTTCACCTGAAATAGAATGCCTGGTCATTATAGCTGTACTTTGTGCACTTTTCAATCCAGATACAGCTATAATAACCGGGCGTTTTATTCGGGTGAAAATGGTAGTCTTGGTGGGATTCGTTTCCTGGAAAATCAATGGAGGGGGACGACGTTCCACTAGGAGGATTTGTTTCACTGAGCAGCCCTCTGTGAATGACATGACATTGAAAGCAAATTGTGAGACCAGGTTCAAAGTACAAACATTCCAGATACTCGGTTTCATAGGGCATCCTGGGATTATGCAAAAACTCTTCCAGTTCAATTAAAATTAAAAAAGAAAAAGAAATTGTATGGTTAATCCTTCTATGGGAAGCAATCAATGCTGTCAGGTTCCCCGGCCCGTAACGTGGGGAAGCATGGAGTATAAAGACTACTATTTCGTTGTTCTTCAACGGACGCTGGTAGAAAGGCGCTTAAAAAAAAAACACTGAAATCAGGGTCAAATGGCATTCAAGGTACTCAGTTTCCTAGAGCATCCCGGGTCGAAGTCCCACTACTGGAGGCTTAGTGTTCCTTTCGAGTACCTTCGACGTGGGCGCAGTGCGGCCGTGAGATGTCCTGACTCGATGGCAGGAACTGCTGTCTACTCAAAACCAAGCTTGAGCCCCAGCTAGTGGGACTTTGCCCCTGGAATTATGCGAAAGCATTTAGTAACTTGAGTTCAACAATAGATTAACATCAAAGAATTGTGAAATCAGAGTCGAAGTCATAATTTCATATGGGACACTGGGCCCCGTTCCCAGCACGTACTGCTTCCCACGAATAGATTGGAGCTTTTGTCCGAAAGAAGAAAAAAAAAAGTCATCACTGCAAACTATGCTGAGCCTGTTGATTGACCAATAAATTTGGAAGATTGTTTCGGTGAAGGAAATTTTAACTCTAAGGCGTTTCCAGCATATAGTGACTTCATTGAACTCTCATGTTGCCCCCATGAGAGGGACCCATCTTGAGCCCACACAATAGATCCAAGAACTCTAATACTTATCAAGTTATCATAGATAGGGGTCAGGCGTATTTATTTTCCCGCTTTTCCCTAGGGAATACTGGAAGTATGCCAAAAAACAAAAAAACAAAAGAACTTCAATCAATGCAATATCCAATGCAACCCAGCGGCCTAGCTCAGTTGGTTAGGCATGCAAGTGGCATTCAGGAGGTTGTGGGTTCAAGCCTCATATAACCGCCTGCGGCGCACTTAGTGCCAACCAGCAGTGATAGTCCGCTTGATACCTCTGATCGGTATTAGTCGGGTCCTTGGGCAGCAGGGATGTGAGTGCGAGTGTGAGTGGGTTGCATGTGGTGTGTGGGAGATCGTTGGCCTTGGACACTGCTGTTATTCGGTTGGGGATGGGGGACGATGAAAAAGGGAGGCGCAGCTACTGGCAAAATGCTCGGTCTTTGCGTTCGCTGGAACCCCACCGGCGGCCCCACCCTATCCTTGACCACCACGGTTGGGGCGGGGGGCGACTTGCATCCCCTCGGATGCCTGGAGGGAGACAACAAAAGGTAGGTTTGCAGGGGTCCCCTGTATACGCCTTAGGAGTAGTGGTAGGTAGGTAGTGAAGGGGAATTGAAAGAATTGGAAAGATGATGAAAGATTTGAGAGAAGAATATAGTGTAGTTTTAAATAAAAATAAAAACAAAATATTGAATGCAATAATCTCCTAACATACTCAAATCAGCTCACGAAGCTCGTCCCCCGACGAGAACAATCGTCCGTTTTTGGATCCATTTCTCACAGTCTTAAATTATTTTTCGATTAATAAATAAATCATTAATTATATAGAAAATTAGAAATCAATTTTAATCAACACATTAATGTCGTAAGTTTGGAACTGTTCAGACCATATCACTAAATCCGTCCAATGAGAAAAATGCATGGCTACGATCCGAACGTCCGGACTGCCATCTAGACGGTCCGGATCCAGACTTGCATCCCGACGTCCGGTCTGGGAGGTCCGGATCAGACAAAATACAAAAAAAAAAAGAAGGG